CTTTTGATTTTGGACTATTGGTTGGTTGTGAGAAATTTGATCATGAAGCTTCCTCTGTCATTTCATAGATCATAGGATTCAAGTAGTTGCAGCCCTCAATACAGTGCAGAGACAACTGATACTGTTGCACATGAGACATAAGCTGGTGCTTTCATGTGAGGTGTACAGAGACAGATCAGTTTTTGTAATTTGTTGATATTTATCCATGAATGGTTTGGTGGTGGTGGTGGTGGTGGGAGGCTCTTCTCATTCTGTTTGGTTAAAGGGTTAAAGCTGTACGGTGTGGTGAGTGGTGCTGATGGAGCAGATAGCAGTCCTGTAATAAAAGCTTCACAGGAAAAGAGGACACGCCACTGACAGAGTTAATAATGAAAGATCCTGCCTCTGATTTCTTTCTGAAACACCAGCCACTGGAATATTACAAGTGTCACTTACACACTGTTTTGGAAAAAGAGAAGGAAGGGGGGATGAGGTGAAGGAGAAAAGAGAAGGGAGCTAAGCGGCGCTGTGGTGATGAAGCAGAAACTTTTGGATTAAATGGGATGTCTTTATCTCAGCGTATGAAAGGCAGAGGTGTGAGATCTGTCTCATAAAGGCTGACTGAGATGCTTTGACCGTGAGATATTTGGAGATATACTGCCTGCCAATATTAGACATCTACACTAGCTTTAGGACACTGAATAGCATGTGTTTATTTTTACTCGTCACTGACAGATTTGACAAAATATCACAATATAAGTCAAGGTTATAATTTCCTGATAATTTCTTAGGATGTTTCTTGGAAATAATACAAATTATGTGGGGAGGTAGCAGGAATGTGCTGCATTTAAATTAAAGTAAATATCATGTTTAATTTATTATGAGAAACATTATTTTCCATGTTGAATTGTATGCCTGCCTAGGGATAAACTTCATATTTCTGCTTATTCAGCCAACTAAAATATGATTTATATATATAAGCAGTTAATTAACTGTGTAGTATTTTCTATTCCTCCTATAATCAATATGAAATTACATAGTCCCCCCCCAAGCCTGTAATATAAGTGATTCAAATGGGCATTAATGTTTCCACCTGTTATCCACACACACAGTATGTTGACATTTCAGTATTTCTGCAGGGTGTTTGGGGCTGCTATTTTCCTGACGTCAGTGCTCAATATGTTCATCCCATCAGCAGCGAGGGTGCACTACGGTTGTGTCATGTTTGTTCGCATCCTGCAGGGCTTAGTGGAGGTAAGAAAAAAAGTGGGGACGTAGGAAATAACCTCCTGTTTACTTTGTTTTTTACTTTAAGTTTTTTTATATTGATTAAACAATTGAGACATCAATGTAAATTAGTAATCTTTAGAGGAGCTAGGCTAACTGTCTCAAGGTTCTGGGCTAAGCTAAGCTTAACTGGTTCAGTTCAGTAGCTTCATATTTATCATACCTACTGCAGAGCGGTATCAGTCTTCTCACTTAACTCTCAGCAAGAGGTTAAAGGTCCAGTGTGTA